GCTGGCCCGGGGGGTGCCGCCTCCGCCCGCCGTGCGGGGCGCTCCGGCCCCCCGGGCACGGGCAGCTGGCATCCAGAGGATCCCCCTGCCCCCTCCCCCCGTGCCGGAGACCTACGAGGAATATGTAAGCAGACGTTAATTAGCGGCTGTTGAGTCATTAACGGGGTTCGGAGTGGTGGGGCGAATGGGAGGGTTGTGGTGGGGTGGGGATCGGCGGGGTCAGCAGGGATCCTTGGGAATGGAGTTGGGGTCACCAGGGATCTGTGGGATCACCAGGGATTAGTGGGAATGGTGCTGGGATCACCAGGGATTAGTGGGGTCACCAGGGTTCCTTGGGAATGGAGTTGGGGTCACCGGGGATCAGTGGAATGGTGCTGGGATCCCCAGGGATCCTTGGGAATGGAGTTGGGGTCACCAGGAATCCTTGGGAATGGAGTTGGGGTCACCAGGAATCCTTGGGAATGGAGTTGGGGTCACCAGGAATCCTTGGGAATGGAGTTGGGGTCACCAGGGATCTGTGGGATCACCAGGGATTAGTGGGAATGGTGCTGGGATCACCAGGGATTAGTGGGGTCACCAGGAATCCTTGGGAATGGAGTTGGGGTCACCGGCGATCAGTGGGATGGTGCTGGGATCCCCAGGGATCCTTGGGAATGGAGTTGGGGTCACCAGGGATCTGTGGGATGGTGCTGGGATCCCCAGGGATCCTTGGGAATGGAGTTGGGGTCACCAGGGATCTGTGGGAATGGAGTTGGGGTCACCAGGGATCAGTGGGGAGGTGTTTGGATCAGTAGGATCACCGGAGATTCCTTGTAATGGTGTTGGGATCACCAGGGATCTGTGGGATGGTGTTGGGATCACCAGGGATTAGTGGGAATGGTGCTGGGATCACCAGGGATCAGTGGGGTCACCAGGGATCCTTGGGAATGGAGTTGGAGTCACCAGGGATCAGTGGGGTGGTGCTGGGATCACCAGAGACCATTGGAATGGTTCTGGGGTCACCGGGGACCATTGGGATGGTTCTGGGATCATCACAAATCCTGATACACCTGAAAATTTGATTTCTCTTCTCAGCAGAATGGGGTTTTTTCCACCGAAAAATTCAGAGGTTGGGGGTTGTAAATGTGTGGTTTGGATGACACAGAATTATGGAATATCCTGGAATCATCCAGCCCAGCTCCTGGCCCTGCACAGACACCCCAAAATCCCATCCTGGGCATCCCTGGGAGCATTATCCTGGAGCTCAGGGGAGAGTGCCCAGGGATGGAACAATTCCTGTCCTGGCACATGGATTTATCCCTGGGGATGGAATCATTCCTCTCCTGGCACATGGATTTATCCCTGGGGATGGAATCATTCCTCTCCTGGCCCATGGATTTATCCCTGGGGATGGAATCATTCCTCTCCTAGCCCATGGATTTTTCCCTGGGGATGGAACCATTCCTCTCCTGGCACGTGGATTTATCCCTGGGGATGGAATCATTCCTCTCCTGGCACATGGATTTATCCCTGGGGATGGAATCATTCCTCTCCTGGCACATGGATTTATCC